TTGCATTTAAGGTTACCACCCACATCAAAGAATGCTTCTTCAAGAGATGTAAAGAAAGTTCCTTAGCTAATTTGACGATGGATATTATTGGTAAACAACATAGAGGTTCAACGTCTCAAACTTTAGAACAGTTTTGAACGAGACTTTGCTTCCTACAGATGGCACTGAATTGATACGTGTTAGGACATGGTCGTGACCATTGATATATTAATTATACAATGTACGTTGTGATTTCGCAACACACGTTGTGACTCCATAAGGGATTTTGTTGCAAGTAACACGTGATGACCGATCGTGTTTGATGGTAAAGGGTTGTCGACAATTGGTAGACGATGTATGAAATATGGTGGTTGATGGTAGTCAATAGCTGTAGGAGCGGAAGGAATTTTTCAAATCTTTGATGCAAAGACGTTGTTGAGCTTCAGTTCCTATTTCAAGCTTCGGTCTTCTTATTGCTCCATGTATAGGTCCCCTTTCAGGAGGGGGATATGGCTATATTTAAAGTCTAGGAGATGCCCCAGTGCAATTAAGTAAGAAATTTGGACCACTCAATCTGAAAGTCTAGAGAGATTCCCTTCATCGGGTTGTGTTTGATGAACATATAAGAATCTTAATGGTGTTATGATTAAGTGATCGTAGGCTCATTATATTTGTCTCGTCAATAAGCTCAATTTGACTATAAGCTTGTTATATTTGAAATTTATTTGAACTTTCAATTATGTACTTAAAACATTCATAAGTGGCTTAATGGTTTGATCTGAGCTTGATTTGACTCAAATTAGACCAATTTTGTTATCATTGGGTTTGTCTCATCAAGCCGAACAGTTTGATTGTAAATTTTGCATTGAAATTGGTGATGCATTTAGATTCATGTCAAACGACAAATTTGTTGATGGCTTATCAAACATCAAAGTGGAATAAGAATAAATATTGTGGCTTGTGTGTCACATGCATAAATATATAAGAATTGTCAAATGCCCTGAATCGATTAGTGAGCTCATGAGCTGGCTAATTGAAGAAAATATTAATATAAAATGTACTCAATTTGTATTAAATTTGAAGGTATTATCTTTAAAGTATTAAAGATGTTCAAAACTAATATTATATATTCTATTTTAATTAATTTCATTTTATTGGTTTTTACATTCATAGCACTCAAAACATTGAAATTTACGTATATCACACCAATACTTCGATATTTATGTAGAAAGCACCTTCTGTGAGACTGTGACCATCAATGTCAGTCCCTCACGAAATACATCTAACGAAACTGCTCCTCAACGGCGAACGCAATCACCTTCTTCCCCAAGGCATCCTCTACCTCCAAGCTCATTAGTTGCAAACACACAAAATGCGGTCGGATTCATTCGCCATTATTCCTCACACTGCCGCGACTGCCTCCCATCAAATTCATTTGATTGCCCTAAGATCTGCCCACCATGACTACTCCTCGAAGTTTTCGGCTCCACCGCTGGTCTTATTCTCTCGGAAACATTGCAGTTCTTAACTCAAACAGTCATCAATTTCGTTGTCAGCTGCTCTGTGTTTTATGATTGGATGCCTAGAGGCGAAATTGCTAGATTCAATCACGGGGCATTCACTCTATTGAATCAGTGACAAATAAAACGAAGGGTTACAGAATGTGCTTTGTACGTAAATATCAAAGTTCGGGTGGGATATGTGCAAATTCCGAAGTTTTGACTTTTCAGTGGAACGTAGGTAAAAGCCCCTTTATTATTATGAAATTGTCTTAATTAATATAATTTTTTCTCTTTTATAATAAGTAAGTAGTTTCGATCTGGTAGTCTTAAATTTGAACTCAAATTCGAACTTAATAAAATTAATGTGTGCTAGTAAATTCACGGCGGTAGAGTAATGAATTATTGTCTTAGCATTGCGCGAGTATTCAACACACACTCAGATGAAAATGAATCAAGCTGTGATAACACCAGAAGTTTTTACATGAAAAACTCGTAAAGGGGAAAAACCACGGGGTCCGACCCAGTTGTAAAAATTCACTATAACTTGATGATAACATATGCCCCTTGTCTCACAGACGGGAAATGGTTACTAGCTTTCCAAGTTACAACGTTGACTGACAATGTCTAGTCAGCGATGGTTGACGGAGGTCGGTGGTGATCGACGGTAGTCGACGACAATAGATGACGGTCGGCGGTGGGCGACGGCTCGGGATCGTCGAGGACGGTCGGTGGTGGCCGACGATGACAAGAATGATCTTGGACTTGAGTTCATTCTCAAAGCCTCAAGTTCTCTCTTAAGTCTCTTCCTTCATGTGAGATGAGAGGTGAGGCTCTATTTTTAGTGTTTTTAGTGCAATTAATGCACGAATATGAACCATTGTGATCGAACGGTTCAGAGAGCTTCCCTTGATCAGATGATGTTTGATGGACATTTAAGTGTTTTAACAGTGTCAAAATTGAACAATCTTGAGCTCATTGGATTCTTCTGATCATTTTTTTGAGACGCTCGATTCGACTATAAACTCGCTAGATTCAACATCCGTTTGACCTTTTAAATGCCTCCAAAAATCCACCAATAGTGGTTTAATGACTTGATCCAGGTTTGATTTGACTCGGATTGGACTAAATTTTATATGATTAGGTCTGTCTCATAGGTCCGTCTCATCGAGCCGATCTCATCGAGCCGATCAGTTTGACTATAAGTTTGCTGAAATCGGAGCTCCGGATGACTTTCAATCTAAGTTTGAATGTTTTTTATTCAAAAAATTAATCAAATTCAGAGTAGATCGAACTCAACTGGACTCGTTATGGCTCTATCTTGACACAAACGCTTTTATTTCTATGTGAATCATGCAGATATAGTATGAAGTTGGAACTGGACTAAAGCCCCAAACGTAACCTTATTAAATATTTCTCACAAAAATTCTCATTTATCATTTACTCTAAATTAAAGTGAATTAAATCTTACAAATTATTTTCCTTAAAATACTTCCTGAAGCATAAAATTAAATATAGTTAAATAGCAATTGTAGGTTCAAGTTTGGTGGGACGACTCATTTATTATTTGATATCCTAACCCCCACTTCAAGTTGGGTCACCACTCTTTCTACGCTCCTCTGACCTTTTCTTTGGTAGAAAAGATTTATGGCATTGAGTTTGTGCAGTTGACACGGTAGTCCGGAGCCTGTGCTCTGGAAGCCTCCGTAAAGGCGTAGCAATAAAAAAATTTGTTTAATGCACTCCTCGTCATCATGACGCAACACATGATAGCCATGTGGCAAAAAGTTTTTTTTTTTTAACATAAATTTATATATGAAAACAATATATATATATCACTTAGAAAAAGCACGAGCAATAGTTTTACATTTTTTTTATGTATTATTCAAGATTTGAATGTTTTGTATGTAAATTATATGAAAATATAGGAGTTAGATGGGTAAATACATACAAATTTTGTGATATATAAAATTTTAACGGGAAAATTACTAATAGAATAAGCAGAATATGTAGACATGTTAAAAGATTGAATTCAACAAGGGGGGCTATTAGGCTCACCTGCCGAAGGTACCAACCAATCGGAAAGCCAACCGATCCAAGAGTCGGTCGAAACAAGAGATAATCATCAAAAAATAAAGGTCCATTAAATGCTCGCTCTATTGATCCCTCTAAGCCCAATCGGTGAGATCCGACTGACGATGGATTGTTGATGTGGGTTCAACAATTACATATTTAGATTCCCTTTCAATTAAAGTTGTGTGATGTCATGAATAATATTTTAATTAGGTTGTGGTTACTAATTAAGTAAACGCTCTGTACTGAGTGTGAAATGGGAACTCTATCCTCATTGCATTTATTTGTTTTAGCGATCGAGCTCACATGTGTGGGCCTATCACGTATTAAGTGTCCAGATTTTCCTCCACATGACGGGGTATTAAGATGATGAAATTACCTATTTTAGATTGGCCGGCACTGAATTTGGCTTTAATTGGAATGATATGTTATATTTGCATTGACATGATATTGATATATATTTTGATTTTTTTTTTTTTCTAAAATGAGTACGCACGTTTAGGTAAAAACAGTTAGTGGAGTAGTGACCCGCAAATTAAATGAGAAAATTATCTTCTTTAGAATTTATTATATATTATTTTTAAAAAATCAGTAAGTGGAAATATTGAGCCCATTAGTCATAGCACTTTAATTATTCAATATTGTTGAAAAATTAGGGCGAAGAAAAATAAGAATCGACACAAATCTAGATGAACACACAAAGATTTAACGAGGTTCGACAATGTGCCTACACCTCGGGAGCAGAGCGATGATTTCATTATTTCAGAGAAGTTTTGTACATATTGATAGGGTTAAACATCATATATATAGATAAAACCCACGGATAAAATTACTAACACGCCCTTGCTCTCCCAACCCACTTATCTCCAAGAGACGCACGTTTTCACTCCAAGAGACTAAGGGTCTGTTTGCGCAGCTGCAGCTTATTGAATAATCTGCTGATAAGTTAGGTGTGATGGTTATTACAAATTTTTATTTTTTTTTTTTGGAAAAACCAAGCCGTTGCCAGAAAGCTGTCACCGCACCTAGATAGGTGCGATGTGAAAACGCTGTTTTCAGTATTTTAAAAACGCATAAGCTGCCAAAACGCAATTTACCCAAACAGATCAGGTGAGTTTTCAAAACGCCACCGCACCAAATAAGCTAAGAGACTCCAAATTCTGATATATGAGCTATACCTCTCAAATATTATTTATCATTTAAGCCTAAGCCGACACTACGACACCCAACAATTTAATGTGATTCACGTATATAATAAACGTTATATTTTTTTTGCTTACTACAATTAATCAAACAAATTATGAGCACGTAAGAAAAAAGGCAACATCCACACAAAACAGTGAAATCAAAGCCAAATTAAATTAAAAGTCATGTATAACACGATCATTCAATCATTCAATCATTCAAAACACAAAAACCATATGTTCATTAAAGAAAAAAAGTAAACCGAGGTCATAATTCATTCTTTAACCTCTCTTGCTATGACCAGCATTAGCTCTAGGAGACGCCAATCCCTGCACACCGCCGTCTCCGCCGCCGGCGACGGCAGAAACTCTCTTATCGCTAATCTTCCTCACATAATTCTTACCCCCAGCCCTTTTTCTCGTAATCCCACTCTCATCCGTGCCATTAAAATTCGGCACCAAATACCACCACACAGCAGTACAACAAATCGCAAAAACTCTCCCAAACACCAACAAACACACTAATATCAATAGCATCACCGCCAGCATATAATACGAAGGCCTCAACTTCCACCGCACCTCCGTCTTTCTCCCACCTTCTCCCTGAATCCATGTCACGCGCTTCTTAACCTTCTTCTCCTTCTGAGCCTCCTCCTTCGGCTTCGGCGACGGCGGCATGGGCAACGAGGATGGTGACGACAACTCCTTGACGTTAGGCTGTGCGGGCGCGGCCTTCTTCGGGCTGGCTGGATTGCTGCCGTTGTTGTTGGGCCTGTTCTCCTCTCGCAATCGGACGACAATTGGGATCCAGTCTTGGGAGTTGGAATACATGAAGCGGACCATGGTGCCGTCGTCCCCGCTTAATCCTTTCTTAGCCATGATCTTCTCTTTTCTAGCTTCGAGATCAGAGAGAACGGAAGTGAACTTGTCCAGGCCTCTGGATGAGTACGGGTTCTTGCTGTTGTTGTTGGACTGTTTCGTTTTCTTGGAGCTTTTGGGTGTTGAAGGCGCGGAATTGGAGAGATCCTCGTCGACATGGTTGAAGCTGGAGAGACCGCGGAACATTTCTGGAAAGCTTTTAGGTTGTTGCAGGAAGGGGTTTAAGTTAATTCGTGGGAGGAGAGATGGGAAAAAATGGTTATATAATTATATTTGCGTGTGTTGGCGGTGTTTGTGAATATAAAAATAGCCGTGGCGGAGTTTCCCGAGCGGGAGGGAGCTCTGCCGCTGCCGGGGCTCGCATGGCCTGGAAAGAATATTGAAAAGTAAGTGGGGTTGAAATAGTAAGGAAAAGTTTTTTATAATATTTTAGGAAAAATTTGACTTTATCCAATGGGTACTTTTTATTTATTTATTTTGTCTACCTTTTTTGATTAACCAGAATTGTTATATCTTAGAACAATAAGAAGCTTCGTTTTATTGATTAGAGGAGTTTTGATTACTCTAATTTCCTTTTTTTTATATATATTGTTTTTTTTCATTCATTTATGAAATTAATTTTCTCTTTAAAAAAATGGGTACTTAGTCAAGGATATTGTCATATTGAATCTTGATTTGTATGTTGATTCATATTAGTTAGGAAAGTGCAAGAAATGATAATGTCTATTGAAATTATGCCAGCATTGGTTCGGAGGAGATTTAACGGTTTAGAAGAAAGAGAGTACGTTAAAGTAGGATCCACTGATAGAAGAACAAATGACACTCTTATCCTATCAGATGCAGCGACCCGAGTCAGAGCTAAAGGTTGATAGTGTGTAGCCGTTTGAGCCAAAGTTGAAGGCCAACCTTGGCCTCAGAAGAATAGAAAAACGACTAATTGATTTGAATCTTAACAAATCGGGCTAAAACAAGACCAATAGGCTTTCTGGACAACTATTACAAGAAAACTAATCAAAGGCAGACCTACATTCCAGTAGATCCGGCCTGAGGAAATACTTAGTTATCCAATACCACCAGCCATCCTACGGATGTCCTTCGAGGATCTTTAACAAGGATTAGGGATTGACAACACAATAAAATCTTATATTTATCACGAAAATTCTTCTCTTTGAAAAAAAACAAGTGTTACATATCAAGTTAAGGTGATTGACTCTCAACCCTATTGTATAATCTCGTTCCACCAATAGGAGCTTCTCGTCCAGAGATTGAGGGACTATATCAACCGATCGACAACGCCGACTTAGCCTAGCCTACCGGACCCGCCTTACCAAGTCGAAGTCATAGTTGCTCAACTAACAAGGCTAGAGAGGAATCAAACGATAAGCTCATATATATAAAATATTTAGAATAACTTGTACAACTCATATTAAAGCAGAGACATAGATGTTATATCACTATATTGTGTTCTCTCTCCTATAAATAGAGAGATCATTACATGTACAAACGATATCAAAAATTTGAGCCCAAGAGATAAAAAAAGATAAACACAACATATTATTGTTCATAACATTGAATCGCCAGATTTTATTGTGTGTACTAGTAGAATGACTCCAATAAGTAAAAAAAAAAAAAAAAAATTTGGGTCAATATGCTATTTGCTATTTTTACTTTAGAAAATTGACTATTATTTTAAATAAAATAAAGCCTCTTATGAGTTATATTATTTGCTATTACTACTTTAGAAAATTAAGTATTATTTTATTTCATATAAGTGGCTTTTATCCATTCTCTCCCATTCCTTCATTCCTTAAGAACATCGAAAAGAAATGATTAAAAATGTGTCATATTATTTTGATAAAATTTAAATATATGTAACTATCATTTCCTAGAATATTTACCAAATTGCATTGGAAGAGTAGAAAGGGTCATATAGACAATACTTTTTTCGATGGAGAAGAATTTCAAGTCCTGACATTTGTTGAGATTATAGCCGTTTAACAAAACCCTGGATAAATGTAAAGACAGGCGAACAATTTTGACCAAAATTAAAGGAATTTCCATGATTAGTTGAAGACAGTAAGAAAACTTTCGAGCAGGGCCAAGTTGTTCGCAAATAAGATCAAGTTCCTGGTTATTTTTTTTTAAAGGATAATAACGATCTTGTTTTCATGTAAAAAATTGATGCAACATTATGAAATCTTTATCATTTAGCATGAAATTTCAGACACTTTTAAGTATCAAAAATTTCAGATTCAAACTCAAGATCATTAAGAGCCAAAATTTCAATAAGTTTACATAATCAAGTTGACTGTCTCAACAAGACGAATCCGAGGATACCAAAACTGGTTCGATTTGAGTCCAATTAATCAAGTCAAGATCAAGTCATTAAAAAACTTTTGAAGATTTTGGGTCTTCAATTGAATAGTCAAATGAACTTCAAATTCAGCATCTCGATGAGATAAATCCAACGAGCCTAAACTCACTTAATTTTGAGGTCGTTAAGGTCACCAAATCATTAAAAAATCTGATATGCTTGAGGGAGATCAATATGGATTGTCTGATCAGGCATTTGGGGAAATTATTTGTTGATGATCTATGAATTGACCACCTCTCTTCACTTCCATAGCATGTTCAGGATGAAAGACCTGACAATAACTTTCAGACTCCATAGCTGCCGACCGTCCCTACTCGTCATCGTCGATGACTCCTTGCTTGCTAATATCATTTCTCAAATACAGTCATAACTTATAATGTTGTATTGAAAATCCAACGATGATTTCTGGGCTCTCTAGCCGTCTACCACTCTCGTTAGTCGTCATCTACCACTGTCGATTGTGTCTTTTAGTCGTCCATGACCCTTAATTGCGAACATCGTATCTCAAATATGATCGTAATGTGTAATGTTTGTACTGAAGACCCGGCAATAAATTTCGAGCACTTTAGCTGCCTACCCCCATCATCATCTTTACTAATGACCCCGAACACTGAAAACCATTGCTTAGAACTGTCGAAGTTTGAATGCATCATTTGTTTATAAATACTGCATTGTTTTGTAAGATGTATATTGACTAATGATGTATCTGGTGTAAATAAGACTGTCAAAAAGGCTCGTTGTTCGCGAACAACTCGTGTTCGGCTCACTAAGAAGCTCGTGTTCGGCTCGTTCGCTAAGTTAACGAGCCGAACACGAACAAAGATTTATTGATTCATGTTCGGCTCATTTTGGCTCGAAATACCACTAATCAATTATATATATATATATATATATATTTGATGAGTAGTATTTTTAAAAAACTTAATTGACTACAAGGCGATAACGATTTATAATCAATTATAAGTATTAATTAAAAAAATAGAATAAAATTTATTAAATTAGATTCAAATGATGTTTTAATATAAATAATAATTTTTAAATCTTGCCCCAAT